CCTCAAGGCACACAGCTTCAGTAAGTTTCAGTCTGTCTTTTATAGGTTTGTAACTGCTCATTTCCTAAAGTCCCCTCCTAATTTTCGTTTCTTCTTTTTTACGTCATCAGTTCTATCTGCGCCTGCTCCGCTCTGTTGCCAGGGGTTATGCGCGTTATGCACACGTGCTGTCTTGTCACTAGGGAAGTAGTCTCGTCTTGTTTCATTTCATCCTTTTGACGTAGTCAGCTTCTTCTGCTCATGTGCTGTCTTGTTGTTGGGAAGCAACCTCCGTTCTATTTCGTTTCTCCTTCTTGACGTAGTTAACTCCCTCCCATATTGCTTTAAGTATCATTTTATATATACATCTCTAAGATCTACGGGTAACATAACAAAATATCACTCATCATTGTAACATAACATTATGGTTTGTAATTACAGTATTGCAAATATAAGTTGATAAGCAAATTATCTCTTCTTTGGTCTTTATTGGCTATTACATCCTCATCTGAGTCTACAGCCTGACTTTGTCTCTGGCAACCATCTCAGAGCCTGGCTACTATCACTACTGATAAATAGGTGGTTGTGATCTCCTGGACTGGCCCTGTGCATCATGATCAGCTGGCGGTGGTAAAAACTGGTGGCAAGATGAAAACCTATCCCAGAGCTGCGGAAGAGGAACAGCATGAGTAAAAGGTCACAAACCTGCAGAGTGAGCAGTCACAGATCAACCATTTTGGGGCAGGAGAGCTGGAAGACTCAAGCTCACCCATGTCAGCTAGGCTAAGTCTTCTCTGACAAACAACACCACAGGGACAGAGCTGTCCTTCTAAGGAACAGAGATGTATTTTTAAGAAGCAAATTTATGCACGACATCTTGATATAATTAGTAAAGACTTTTTTATGGAGCTGCCCAGTAGCAAAAAATATCCCTAATACCTGAAATTCGTGTCCTTCTGTGCACCTCTAGATTGTCACTGTGTCCCCACATACCGGCAAGATGACAAGAGGGACCATGATGGCATGGCAAGAGCAGACAGGAGTGGGCATAGAAAAATCCTGGCAGAATCAGGGCTGGGTTGTGTCATGACTGTGATGGGAAGCAAAGTGAAACAAGGACTTTGCTAGATGCCTAGATCTTCCCCATAAATTGACACATACTTCAGTGGACAGAGATTTTGGGGAAGTTAATGTGATAAACAAAGTCTCGAGTTTCTATAAGTTTCGAATAATAGTTTATTATATGGTAAAAGCAAGCAGCTGGTTGGGTGACAGAAATGGGACCAGTTTCCCAAATCTGCACACCCTTACTACAGGGTACATTTAGTATTTATCTTAGCTACTTCATGCATATTAATTATATCATATACATATACATTCTACAGGTTTTTGCTAAGTATTTAATATATGGGTTTTCTTACAGCTAAAGCTAAAAGGGTTATCTTTACAACCAGTCATAATTCATGTATTCTTGGACGAACAGGCGCCTAAAGATTTAAAGTTCTACTATATTTCATTCTTAGGATAGTAAGGAGGTTTTAGGCCTCTTGACCTTCTGAGGGTCTGTTTTATTTCTTTATGGAGGTGTAATTAAGTTTTACAATCCGTTTGTTTTATTTTGATGTAATCACCCATTTGTTTCATGAATCACAATTACTTATATATCACATTAGGATATTCTTAGCATCCCTCTCCCACCTCCTCCTCTGGATATATGTGCCCCATCATGATGCCTGAACTCTTTCTCACTGCTACAGTCACCATCTGTGAACCCTACCCACAATATTACCATGAAGAAAAAATGTTTGTTATGTGTTTTCATTCAAAGAAAACTTCCCATACATGTCAAAAAGTCATTGTCAGAAGTTTCTTTATGTTTCCCTTGCCCAAGGTGTAGCAGAGAACTTATTTTACAGCAAGTTATTGTCATAGGTTTACTTGTTATAAAAAAAAAAACGGAGCTGGGAATTTTTCCTTTCCCCTGCATCACTGTAAAAGAAAGATGTTGAACGAGGGAGGGGGAGGGTCATTGACACACACAAAAGAACTAACTAGCAGGCCTGCATTGCAGACTGATGGTTGTCAGAAGACTGGGGGGGGAGGTGAGATTTTTTTCCTCTCCTTGGAAATGGCAGGCACTTCACTTTTGCCCTGACTCAGGGAGGGTGTGTGCGTGGAGGGGTCCGAGGTTCATTTTGGTTTTGACCTGGTCATCTGGCTGCTTCTGGCCCTGTTTTGCCTCTGTTTTCCTGTGCCCTGTTCTGCCCCCAGCCCAGACCTGCTCGGATTTCATCGGAGAGGCTTGACCCATCTGCAGAGGAACCTTTGGGGGAGGAGGTCGCCCTTTCCCTCCTCTGCTCCCGTGTTGGCAGTGGTTTGTGCCCATCAATGAAGGGGGGGAAATCCCGGCCAGAGTCAACCTCAGACAGCGTGAGTTCGCGGGAAGAACCCCCTTTTCCCCTTTTCCCTTCCCCTTCTCGGTGGGGGGGAGATCTCCATTTTCAGCTTCTGTGCACCGGACCCCCCATGTGGCGACTGTCAGAGTCCAGCAGCGCCCCCTGTTGACCACCGCAGTGCAACTGCAGGCTCTGCTCCTCCAGAGATCCAACAGTGCTCCCTCCTGATAGTGGTTATAATTGCGCCAGAAGGCGAAAAGTACTGAACTTTTTTTTTATACGGAACTTTGGGTGCAAAATTATTGTTTAGTTGTTTTTGTGTTCTTTTGTGGTTCTGCCAATACACATATATCCTTTAATAAAGGGCTGTTATCTTTTTCTTTCTCCATACTTCCTCAATTGGAGCCTCTTAATTTTGGATTTACAATTGCTTGGAAGGAGGAGCTTGGTCTTCCTCATAACTCATCCTCCTCAGCAAACACTTCAGTCTCATTAAACTGAGACAGTTATTTATGGTCTGACAGAAACACTACTGACAATTTGAGATTCACAGCTTCAACCCTGGGCAACAAGGCAGGTTTTTCCAAGAAAGTCTTCTATAGACAGCAACAGGAGACAAACCCACCATTAAAACAGGATGGGGGAAAGCCCTCCTTGAGTTGCCTTTTCTGTTTTTCCTCACCAAGATTTCTGCCACCACCCCTAACCATGAGGAGCTAAGGCTCTGAAATGAGCTCATCAGAAGCTCAGGTTCTGAAATGTCCCCAACTCTGGTGACAGGGCTGAGATTCTGCTGCACTAGGTGGGGAGTAAGGACATATGGGACCTCACTTCTCTGCTCTTTCCTCCCCTCAGTCCATCTCATCCATTCACGTGGCTTCACCTGCTTTAAGAAGCTTTTTAAGCCCCTTAGGTGGGAATTTTCACAACACTGGGATTTTCAAAGTCAAACATTGGGTTCGCAATCCCAACCATTTTGCAAACCCTTGGACAAAGGGGTCTTGCTTGGAGTACGTGCTCTTAATTATCAGAAACACAATATACAGGAAAACCCAAGCATCCTTGCAGACAGGTACTTTTGAGGTGAGAAGTGTTGATGCTAGCAAAGCAAACCTCTAGGAATCATATAGCAAACATAGAATCATAAAACGACTTAGGTTTGAAGGGACCTTAAAGATCATCTTGTTCCAATCTCCCTGCCATAGGGACACCTTCCACTAGACCAGATTGCTCCAAGTCTCATCCAACCTGGTCTTGAACACTTCCAGGGATGGGGCATCCACAGCTTCTCTGGGCAACCTGTGCCAGTGTAATTTATGAATCATGAGCACCTCAGCACTGCAACACAACAGTTTGGCCTATCAGTGGAGAAGAACAAACTCTGAAGGCATTTACCTCCCTGAGTGCCATGGTTTGAGATAGCTCCAAAATCCAATTCCCTAGTTCCATCCCCCCTCCCACATCTCAACCCAATGTGAGATGGGTTTTTCCAGGCAAAACACAACCAGACTCAGAATGGGGGAAAGGGAATATATTACAATGACTGTACAAATAAATACTATAACACATTATACACACGATCACAACTATCTCTACCATGACATATAGTATTTACAATGGATCAGATCTCTTCTCCCCTCCAGATAAAAGTCCAGAAGGGAAAGAAGGACAGATCCCTTCCAGTCCCAAGCAGGAGTCTCTTCTAAGGCAGCAGGTCTCCTCATCTCATGCATGCAGCAGTTGTTGCTGGATCTCTGCCAGCACTCACGAGGGAGGTATCCAAGCTCCCTCGGCCCCTTGACGCAGGCAAAGGGGTCTTCCTCCGTGGACTACGTCACCCCAGACAAAGGTCGTTCCACCACGGTCATATCACGAAGACACAGGGGGCTTCGTGACGGTCTGGTATCTCCAGGAGATTCAAGCTCCTTGCAGGACCTCTGTGCCCTGCCTCAGGTTGCCACCTTGGTAGCAGTGTGAGGGGGGAGCCAAGGTCACCCCCTCTGCATTCCTCTCCGTCCCGGTCCAGCTTCCCAGGACGCTCTGAGCTTCTCAGCTTTTCTCTCTCTCTCTCTCTCTCTGGTGCTGCATGTCCAAAACTGCTCTCCAAAATAGGAGTCCATGTCCCTCCTTTCCAAGAGGGGTCTCAAAAGAGTCTGGGGGGTCTGGTATCAGTTCTCACCCCCAGAATTCTGTAGCTCTGCTGCTAGCTTCTGCTGCTTCTCCGGTTCAGGTCTTATCAGTTGGCTTTTAGTCATAACCTCTGGACGCTCCCACCGCTTCTGCTCTGTCTCTGCTCACTCACAGTGGAAAAACATCCCCCAGTTCACAGCTACAGACACATAGTCCAGCTTAACACTGTTCCAAGTCTCTGAACCCCCAACTGGGGCTGGGGGGGAGGTAGAGGCCCCCCAGAGGGCTCCTGCCCTCTCCTCATGGCTCCTACAACATGGCCACTTCTCCTACCAACCCAAAACTACAACTCTTCTCTTCCATTTGCTTGTGGTATGTTTACATTTCTGCAGGAGCGCCCATTGGACAGAACTTCAAAACTTCCAGGGGTTTCCACCCCTTGAGGGTTACCACTTTTCTTAGCCTCTGGGGGGAAAACAAGATCCAAACCACTACACTGAGGCAGGTATAAATGGGGCAGACAAGGACTCGAAAGGGCTCTCCGGTGCTGCTCCTCATGGTACTGAAGACTTCACAGAGAAAGGTGATGAACCCCAACCAGTGTTCCACATCCTGCTGCTGCAACTCCTCCCGCATGGTGAAATCCTTCTGCAAGAGGGACAGAGACAACAGACTACATCAACAAAACCGCATCACCATGGGAGAGGCACTGGCTGTCTAGATAGAGAATTAGGAGGAAATTGAAACTTGGGGGGAGGGGAGGAAGACAGTCAGACTGACTCTAGTAACAGCGGGGAGATAACACACATGGAGTGGCTGGAATTTTGACACAACAAAGTCACCAGAAAGTAGGTACTGGTAGAAATATAACCAACCCCTACAATAACTGTCACAGCTTGTGCTAGAGATGGTATCCCCCATGGTCTTCTGTACCCCTCAGACAGACACAGGGACTCTTCCATATGCACAACTGAGATCGAATAAAAGCAGTAACAAAGAGGTTAAATGAAATGCAGGGGAAACATAATGAATGCTGGTGGCCATGCTGGGCTTGGTGGTCCAGGTGGACTTGCCCAACCTGTTCATTCTAGTATGTTCGGTAGACCCAGTGTCTGGTCAGGAGTATCCTAATGGTTTGGCTGCTCCCTGGTGTATCACAAGATCAGGGTAGCCTGGGTTTGGCATTAAAAGGTCACCCTACTCCTGAGCTCATGGTTGTCATGACCAAGGATTATCCAAGTGATGTGATTTATGGAGCAACATCAGGAGGAAACATGCAGGGAGATAGCTGCCACCCCATCAGTCCTCTACCTGGGGTGAAAAAAAAGGGTTTGCCCAAAGGCAGGATATGAAAAGGGATGCATGTGTTGGGAGTGTGTGGCAAAGAGCGAGGGGCAACACAGAAAAGTAAATAAAAACTTTTCTAGAGGATGGCACAAGATAGTGCATTGCACTCAGAGCCAAGAGGGCTTCCCTGGGCTCTCAGCAATGCTACAGAGTTTCTTGCACAATGTCCCATGTAATTTTGTTTGTCTCCATGGTGACCATTCCTCAGTGTTAAAAATTAGTAGACACTAAGTAGGGGAAAATTAAAGAACAGGATAAGTTTGTTATCAACACTGTGTGTTCCCGGTGCAGGTTGCACAACATTTGAAATCCAGTAACTAAATAAATTATCTTTTATCTTTTTCATCTCAGTTTATTCCTACTGCCTGAGACAAAAGGTTTTGCTGTTGTGAATGCTCTGACCTGCAGCTGCATTCTGCATTCTGCAAAGCCAGGGAGATATCAAAGCCAACAAACAGATCTTTCTTTTGAAATAAAGGTAAGTAAAGCAGTTACTAAAGAAAGCCAGGCAAGAGCATGATGATAATTTACATGACACAACTGTATGCATAGAAGATCCAAGATGGGACCTATTTATATGTTTCATTACAAAAGGAAAAAAGATGTTGCATATGCAGGAAAAAGACTTGTAAAATAACCAAGGCACTTATTAACCAAACAGTGATGACTAATTCCTCTCTACACCCATTTCTATAAGCCAAAGGCTGGGGGGAGTTTCTCTACTGTGAGTGGACAGCAGAAAACGCTGAAATGGTGGAGACAGCACTGAATAGAGAGCTGTGGTTGAAAGCCAAGAAGATAACTGGCAAGCAGCAATATGGCACATAGCCAGGCTGAGAGATGCAGAGATGTCCTGCAAAGAGGGAGAGCTGGCAACAGAGCAGAGAAAACTCAGTAGAGACTGTTTTGGGGTAAGACTGAATTACTTTCCCAAAACCCTGAGACCTCCTTAGAAAGGAGAGGTGGGTTTCCAAACCTTTAGGGAGTCCTGAAATGCAGCAGCAGCTAGAGAGAGAGAGAAGTTGAGAACTTGGAGATGTCCTGTGAGCTGGACCAGGACAGTCAGACCAAGAAATGCGGGGGAAGTGGCCTCCCCCCAGGTCATGTTTGCAGCAAAGGAGCTCTATTAGAATGCTTGGGGCAAAAAACTGAACTGAGAGCTCCTAAACGTTCTGACTCGGGGGAACTTGACCCCCCGAGGAAGGGATTTTCACTGGATGCCTTGCACCCCATGATATGACCGTGGTAAGGTGAGTTTTGTCCCTGCTTTGCAGCCCATGGGAGAGACCTTTGTTTGGAGCCGAAGGGCTGAGAGGGGTGAGAAAAAAAACCCCTGCGTTGTAATGAAGAGAGAGAGAGAGATTTTCCAGCTATGACAAAGTGAAACTGCTGCTTGGAAGAGAAGAGATTGTGCTGCCCTGAAAGTGATCTTCTTCTTTCCTTTTGGACTTTTTATTGGAGGAAAAGGAGGGATTTGATATATGTAAATATATTGCTTTACCATAGGAGAGATAGTTAGGATTGTTGTATATAAATGTATTATTTATTGTGTTAGTAATAAAATTTAATATAATTTCCCCATGCTAGTAGTTGTGTTATGTTTGAAAACTCTCACATTTAGGCAAACTGTGGGGAGTTTTGGAAATTGGATTTTTTTGGGGAGTTCAAACCACGACAGTGATATCGGTTCCTTTGACAAAGTAGGAAAAGTACCTTTTCTGAGGTAGGAATTATGGTTTTTGGACCATGCCTGCCTGCAAGCAAGAGTTGGGTTTGTCAGGAGTTGTGATTCTGTGAACCATCATGGTAGCTGGACTTGCAATGCCAAGTGTGGAAACAATTAAGCCAGATGCACCTGCGGTTCAGTTAATTAGGATCAAAAGGGAGCACCGACCTTGACTAGTGTTTTGACATAGAGAGTGCTGTGTTCTCCAAGTGGAAAACCGTTTAATGGTCTGCATGGTGTACTGTGGCTGAAAACAGTCACAGAATGATAGTGTGATTGGGTGAAGTCAAAACATTGGGTTGGCAAGGATCCTGGGAATTCTGGTTAACTGAATGACAACACCAGTTGTTGTTTACCAAATCATGCTAATAAAAGGGAAACACAGGGAGACATCAGCAGAGAATCCCAAAAACCGAATCGTGTGTATGCAGTCCCATTCCTTCATCGTCGATAGCCAAGGATCTCCTGAAGCATCCTGAGATACCAATCTGCTTCGGTGCCACAGGGCAGTGCTACACCAGTGTCACAGTGTGCATGAGGAAGGTGGTCTGGGGAACTCTGTCCTTAAATTTGGCCTTTAAGACAGTAGGTTTGACCAGTACCACAGCATGCACAGAATGCCACCCATGCAGAAGTGTTCCACCTCCCTTGGGGTGTCCATGTTTGAGGAAACCATTTCTTTCATCTAGGTAGTTTGATCAATGGAGTTATGGGTGCAATTCACCTGGCTGCATGTCGGCCATGCTCCCAGCAGGATCTGCAACCCATCATGCTGGGCTTTGAGAACATGGAGAGCAACTCAATCACTTCTCCAAAGGATGTGCAACAAAAACGGATAAGCCAACAGTGTGGGAGAGTTGAAGAGTTGACCAGTAGTGAAGAGCAGCTCAGCAGAGAACCAAACCTATGTCCTGTGTGCCTGGGGCACATCTAAAGGAGCCATGCCCTGACCCACAGACCTTCGCACCATTGATGAGGAGCCTTGAGGAGGCTGAAGAGCACTGAAACCAGATGGCTGGGTCACTGTCCTGCCCAGTGAACTTTATTTGCTCTGGAAATGTCTCATGGAGTTATATAAAAATAACCTGTGGATTGGTTTGCCCCATGCTTAGGTGGTGATGTCAGGGCAGTAAGCAAATTATCTTTCATCAGTCTGGCTGTATTTTTAAACATGAATTGTATTACTAATTTGTGGATACTCTGGTCTGTAGATAATCTGGGCGTGTTTATTGGATGACCTTCCTTCAGCACCTATAGTTTAAAATAAAATGTATTTATACAAGGTAGCAGGGTCGACCTCCCTTCTCTGCCTGGTTTGGGAGAAGAGTTCACTGGAAAACCATGTGGCAAGTTGGTGGATGCCAAGGGGACGTCTAAAGAGATCTCATACAGGACAAGTTTGGGACATAAACATGAAGGCTAAGCATGTTCATCACCATATGTAATGGGCAGGTCAGGGGTGGCCCATGTTCACTCATGATAGAGATGGGCTATGGCTTAGCCCATCCTCTGACATCCCCTGTTGGACCCTTTCTAAGCTTGACTGAAGCTTCTGCCAGCAATGGAAATAGAAAATGCCTTTATCTTGGGGATCTCCACTCTTGCACCCAAGTGAAAGCTCACTCCTCATCTCAGTATAGATGCAGCTCATACAGTGTTATCCTTTCCTGGTCTGGCTGTGAGACCTCTCCAAGACAAGGATGAAGCTAGAAGAGTCAAGAGGTCTGGCTACTCCATGGGAGAGGAAGAAAATCCATCTTCTACCATTTTTGGTGAGCAGCAGAGCCAAACAGGACGAGAAGTAAACCCTCCTAGAAAGGGTTCCATAAATGACATTTTGCACACTTAACATCTCTGCATTATTCCTTGTTTATAATTTAAATACTACTTGTATTTAGGACCTGGCTTGGAGGAGGTTCTGGAGCATAACTTTGCTTTCTGGGGAGTATAACCCAATGAGTAGTTTATAACACTGACATTTGGAAGAAGCTCAGGAGGTGCTGAAGAAACCTGTGACAGCACCAGGAAGTGATCAAACATCTCTGTCCATGGATGTCTGGGGTCTCACTGAGTGCCTTTGAATCAGAGTTACTACCCACAGCTTCATCAGGAACATCTCATTTCACATGGATACCACTACACAAGCTCCTTTGCTCTACTTAAGTACTGGAGATGATGGGACATGAGGTGGGACCATCAGCTCTTCCATAGGCTCTGCTCTTCCTCCAGTCACCCACAACAACACTTCTGGCTTCTCTGCCTGCATGCTGCTGACATTCCCTGAGGACTGAACCATATTGAGATCCCACTACACCATAAGACAATAAGACAAAACAGAGTAAGACAATGGTAGACAACCTGTTTGAGCCAACAGCTTCCACGCAGGACTGGGAAACAGTAGCATAGAAGACTGAGATTTATTTCCAGTCCTGTGTGGTGTCCCATCACCTTTGTACCCTGACTTCCCAGCTGGCAAATGGGAATGATTTACTCATCTTCCTCTGCTAAGTGCTTTAGGGTGTGTGACTGATAAATGCAAATCATGGCAATTATTATTACTCAAAAAAAGGAGCTA